TGACGACTGCGAAATTACAATGTGTACGTCTAAAGTAAAGGAGTAACCGTGCGAGAGCTCTTCCGTCTGGCATTGTTGATTAAATCGAGGGTAATATTAAATATCACGGTAAAAATTGAAAATAATATCGGGGTAAGTGTATGGATAGTTGACACCTGCCAATTTTGTTTAAAAAATGAGGTGTGAAAACAAGATATATGTTTCAACTGCGCGCCACTTCAAAGGACAAATACTCTAGCGCGTAAGCTTCCCTCTATATCCTGTTTTCACAACTTATTTCTTTTAAACAAACGCGACAGGTATAAACTACCGCCCAGCGAAAAATGACTCGTCGATCGACAAATCATTTTTCACCGGGTTATACAGTGACAACTACTGGTACACTTACTATAGGTGTATTAATATGTTAAATAAGAGATAATTAAGAGAGTATTTCGTTTTCCATTTCTGATATAGTTTATAGCGTTTATATCGTTAATATTAGTAAGTGCGCGCAGATGCACGCCACTCAAACCGCTGCCTCGTTGAATCTTCATCTCGTGAAACCTTCCAGCGAATGTTCCGCAACAGCGGATAGTACTAAGACACGATCGCAAGCCGTTTCCCGGAGATAACATTAGCCGGAATTAATGAGTCTCCCTGGTGGACCACTGCTTTCAGCGCTGATTCATGTTTATTTAGCGGAACGTCGCCGCGTCGTGTAATTGCAAGAAAGTGTCGCCGGTACATACCAGCACCAGAGCGCGTACTATGCCCGGAGGGAAAACCTTACTAGACGTTCTTTCGGTCATCGCGGTTAATAAGTAAACCTACAAGTGGATACACTAACAAAAAATTTTTTTTAACTCTAAGTAAATAGATTTACTTAAAATTATTTTTTTACTGAAGTATATGTATATTTATTCTATTATATTTAAATAAAAATATCAAATTTCAAGTAAATCTCTGTATTATATTAAGTAAATTAATTTAAATTATTACATTTTCTACATTCAAATAAAGATTTCATGAGATATAGAATTAGCTATTTATTAAACGAAATAATTGTTTTTGTTAAATAAGAAATGCAATTTTCTTCGCTGTGAAAATTACATCTCAGTAAACATTTTATAGAATTAAAATAAAAATTTTTTAATTAAAAATTGTCTATGTTCTTTAATATTTAATAAACTTAAATTAAAGCAATGCACGTTTTAATTTGTTTATTATTTTTTAAATTTAAGCCTTTAATTTTAATCCTGCATAAACCGACCAAAAATAGAAAAAATTGAAACTTAAGTATGTTGTAGTTGTAAATTTTATCTATCAGTACGCGAAATTTCAGACTCGGTCGCCGATGAAATAATATTTAAAAAAATGTTCAAGTTATATTTTTTAACATTTCAGTAAACACTAAATAACAGATAAATGTAGTATAACACCCATGTTATACTACATTTATACTGTTAAGTATAAATTATAATATCGATATTATGTAACTATTACTTGGTGTTCACTGGGATAGGGGTTATGGGCCGATCGCTCGCAGAAGCACTATGAGGATTAATATTATTTTATAGAAAAAGTAGATCTTAACAAAAAATTAGATAAACCTAATAAATGTCACAACCCAGACAGCACACATGTCTAAAAGACATCTTTAAGACGTCATTAAGTTATCTTTTAGACATGTACGTCTAAAAGGTGTCTTAAAGATATCTTTATGGCCCCTTTTAGACATGTGTGCTGTCTGGGAAGAATTCAAATGTACTATTAAGTATATGCGGTCACTGACCTCTGCAACCAAATTACTTATTAGTGAAGTCAAAAGATACAATGTTTTCAGGAAATTTGACAGCTCTTTGAGACTTGACAATGTCGTATATTTTTAAATATGTTTTTAAATGTGCATATATAACCTAGCATATCAATGCATTTGACCAATAATGTATTAAGTGATTCTTTTGTATGAAAAGGGTCATATGAATTTATAAAAATCAAAGAGGCCCCACCAAAGCACCCATACTAACCGCTCCTTCGTGCAGAAGTCACCTTAAGTTAATAGGCTATTAGGAGCCACCTAATGAATAATTCTCTTGAGTAAAGGAATATTTTTTTTATCAGTGTACTTTAAAACTTTGCAGAAATATAGAACCATGAAAAACATATGACACATGTCTTTCTACTTTTGCTCATAAATGATTCACGGTGGTTACCACGTACCCCTCTTTCATCCTCCTATCAATGCCTACTTTTTCTACAGCTTTCCTCAAATAATCCAAAACTCAAAAATGTGATATTTTGATTTATTATTTTCAAAACGGGACTATAAATTGGAAGTATACCGAGAAAATTTTTATTACTTTGCATTAAATTTTGTTTCTTGTGCTTTTATGTCACACTTATTGACATAAAGGGGTGAAATTTGTGGAATACGTGGTAACCACCGTGAATCACTTATGGGCAAAAATGTAAAGACACGGAACAAATGTATTTCATAGTCTACATTTCTGTCAAGTTTGAAAAATCAGAATGTACCCACGTGAATAGGTTTGTTTGCAAGATGCATGAAAATAAAGCGGCACATCACCGATATGCCGGATGTGAAACTCGAAATTACGAGGCGTTCGTTGAGTTTCACTCATCGACTTATTGTTAGCTCATTGTCACACGAAACGATCTTCCGTCAATCACTCTAGCCAAACGAAACATTGTCCAAGATGACGGAAGCTTTTTACACCTCCTCGTATCCGCTCAGAAAAGATTTCTGATAACGAGACGAAAAACATTCTTGACGTATTCAAGCTTATCAACCTCGTGTAATACAAAAATAAAACAATATTAAGATTAAATCAGTAATTTCTATTATCTTCTCTTGAATTAAATAAGAATGACTTACTAGTGAGATACGAGTAAGGATAACGTGTATAAGATTATATATTCTTGCGTTTAGGACGAATCATTTCGCGATATGTCATAACGGCACGCATCAACATTATTTTAGTCTAGATTAAGAATTTTCCATTTAAGATTAAAAATATTCCTTTCTCAATAATAAATACGACTGTCACTATATCGATTCTATTTTATGATAGATCGAAGTGTAATAGCATTATCCGGAAATCTTTTCTGTGGATGTACAAACTTTTTCTTTATATTTTTTAATCTATAAGTTTTACTAAACCGCATAGGTAGATAGCCAAGCCTTCGAGTAAAAAAGTTAACAATGTATGATAAAAGATATATAAAACAATTAGATTAATTACGAAAATTAATTTTAAAAAATTACATCTATACTCAGCTATCGGAAATTACTTTCCGCGAGTATTTATCGTAAAAATTATAGTCTTATTACACGATCACAGCTTCGTAAGTTTAAAATAGAGTGCGGAAATGTTTCGAGAATTTCACGGAGATAAGTTGAAGTTGGACAAAAAAGAAATAGAAAGCGCGACAATGTATCTTGGTTTTAGAATTCGATGTGTGAGGAAATTTAGAAATCACCGCGCGTCACCGTAAGCCGCGGTCATTAAGCACCGTCGAGATGTTGCGGTCTCGGTGCGTCGTTACGAGCGATGTGTTCATCAACGACATGAACGGATTCACTGACCGCAGAGTGATAGTCCGAAACTGAATGCGTGGTGTATCTAATGAAATTTACATTCGGCATTGTGTATCCAATCTTTCGTGACGTTCAATTTCTCTAACGTTATATCTACTCGAATTTCGATCGCTTTCCATCGGCGTATTACACGCGTCTGAATGCTTTTTCAGGTTTGATAAGTAAAATAAGATAAAATATATAAATTTACCCCCCTTCGATAATATCGATTAAAAAATTAACAAATAACAAATGGACAATGGGAGTATAACGCGGCTATTGTTGTATGAGTCAACATATCAATTATTATATAATTACAATACAATTAAGAACAATTAATGGTAATAATTAGTAGAAGTTTCGACTCTAATTTGAATCATGTTCAGCTCGATAAATATTCCTTCTCATGATTTTAGTTAGGTCAAACAGTGAGAACTTTTAAGGTCTGTGGTCAAAAAGCAGTAAAGAAACTGACGCAAATCTTTTGACCAAGCGATCATAAAATGAGATACATTGTTTTAATGAACAAGTAAAAGATTTCGATACGCCTGTAATACAGCATAAATAAATATTTCCATTTTCTCGGGCGTCGGGCGAAATTTTATGCCTAATAATAATAATTATTGTGGATTTTATACATCTCTACTTTTAACCTTTTGAGCTACGCGTCGATTACTATTCGCAGTCTTAAAACGCAGAAGAATTTGTTGTTGTACTAATGTAACGGCGTAAGAGATAAAGTTCTCTTACAGTTGAAATATATTAAAAAGGGACTAAATGCAACATTGAACACGCGAATCCAAGTCGCGCAACGCCTTCCCTTGAAGTTATTTGGTGTCGATTTGAAGAATGTCCACAGTGAAAGGAAACCCAGATTATAATCACCGAGAACCACATCGACTTTGTTCACGACGTGCTAACGTAATGAACAAGCGCGCGAAGCGGTTTCGTTGAATCGAAATTTTGCGTCGCTCTTCGTGCCTTTGCACATCATAAAGCGTGATTTATTATATCTTTGTAGAATCGAAGACATTGTAGTAATTATATAGTAAAAATAAATTGAACGTGCTTCTTTCGTAACTTATCAAATTAACGTAACCCAGAAATGTTACATAATCTTGACACTCAAAAATATTTCGCGAACGAAAAACGCGACCCTGAAATTAAAAATAAAATTTAACACGCAGATTACCTTTTGATTGCGATTACGCTTGGTATATTTGAGATAAAAATCGGCAGCACGGCTGGATTAAGACTGTTCCTCATCGTATTCTATTGTATAATTTTATTACACGAAACAACGAAATTGGACATGACAACAATCAAACAGAACACAACTGTGACGCCAATTTCTATTTTTATTCGTTAAGACGAGAAAAGCTAGTCGTCTTATCTCTCAAAGTAATTGCTTTGTTTTTAGGTGGCTATGGCAGGAAATTACATCTTATCGGTCGCCTGCATGATGCTCTCCAGAGTCCAGAACGATGACGTGACTATTACCATCAGTCAGGTAAATTATTTGGTTGCACTTTTAACTCGATGTTTCAAATCTATTATAGGAGTTTTGGTGATACAATTATCAATATGTACTCGATGTTTAGCGAGAGTTTAACACCTTCAACTGTCTCGCGCTGTAATTATTACAATGTCATTTAATCTCGACAAATAAAAACGTTCACGCGAATCAAGCACATACATCTACACAAAAAATTTAATATTTAATTATTTTATGCAAAAGTTAATTGCCAAAATATTTAAGAGAATCTAAAAATCTAAGAGAATCAAATTAAGATAATATAAAGAAGATAATTGGACCATAACAGCACGTAAACCGAACACTTAAAGTCACGGCACTTTGTAGATTATCTCTGACTTGGTGCAAGGCGAGTTCATGCAGCTTGGTTCCAAAGAAACGGAAAACGAAAGGTTCGCGCACTATCTCACGAAGACGTATCGAAAAACAGCGAGCTTAATTGCCAATTGCGTTAAAGCGGTAAGTTTATATTAACATTCGCGTGTACAAAGTCTATTTGTCTCTCCCAGGCCTGTAAATGATTATTAATTATTTAACTTAGGCCGCCATTCTTTCCGATGTCGACGATCACACGATAGAGATGGCCTTCCAATACGGCAGGAATGTCGGCTTGGCTTTCCAGTTGGTGGACGATCTTTTGGACTTTGTGGCTTCTTCAACAGCTATGGGCAAGCCCACTGCCGCTGACCTCAGACTCGGACTAGCTACAGCCCCGGTGCTCTTTGCTTGCGAACGAGTTAGTACACAAAGCATTCGCTGAATCGATACAGCCGAAACAATTTTCGATTAGTTGTATTACGATGTACTGCTGGACACATCGTACGTGTCCGGTATACTTGTCGATAACCCCCCCCCCCCCCTTTTTTTATAGACAAGCTCCTAATCAGTATTGTTACTTCGGCTGTTGCAGTATCCGGAACTGAATGCGATGATTATGCGCCGTTTCCAAGAGCCCGGAGACGTTGAAAAAGCTTTCGAATTGGTGCACAAATCCAATGGTCTCGAACAGACCAGATTCTTGGCGAAGAAGCACTGCGCGGAAGCAACCAAGATCGCGCAGTCTTTCGCTAAGAGCCCTTATCAGAGGGCACTGATGATTATGACGGATCTGGTCATCAACCGCATGAAATAGCATCGCGAAGAACGCAGGTTTAGGCGGGAGATCAATTTTATAAATATTTATATGTTATACTGGACGATAACAGCTAGTATAATCCTCTCAAGTTTTATCAATCGAATGCAGGGGTGGTATCGAAGAAAGTTTTTCATGTTCAATGTTACACCATTAGCCGGAATTGTATATTGTTATAAATAATTTATATATTTGAGAATTTTTATAAAACCTAATGAAATAAGGAGAATGATTTCATCTTTATAATTCGCGATAGTGTAACATTGATACTTGATTGATAACATTAGTGCATAGCGTAATTACGTATCGTCGCATCGCCGACTCTGAGTTTATACCTCATCCGGAAAAAAAATAAAGGAGGCATCCCGAGCCCCGTAACGTATTCGCTAAAGTGCTTCTGCCTTTTTCAGAGGACTTCATCAATATATCGAAGAATATATTGAGTTTTAGTTGCCTGGAAACATGCAGAAATTGCACTTAGTAACAAAAGTGCCTAGGCATTACGTTTACTTGGCCTGTATGTGAGGAAAACATCACATATTACCTGATTTTATAAATCGTTAGCCGATCATGTAAATAAAGTAATCTAGTAATTAGTGCAATGCATTAGCATCGATAATCATTTCTGTTATATCTCTTTTATGCATGCATCTTTCATTATGCGTCATGATACAATTATATTGTTGTCGGTTTTCAAAATAAAAATAATGCATAATGCCAAATCGCTCTATCTTAACGATATATCTATTACTTAAATGTACTTGCTGTATCTAATGATAATTATTGTATCGCGACACGCCAGAAAAATTGCTTGCATCAAAGGAGTTTTAATGAGAATTTACGTTAGCATGGCAAAAACAAACTAAAAATTGAAAAAATACATATATATATAATGACAGACGTACAGAATTAACGCTACAATAGGATATTCTTCGGTCTTTGTCATGGCCGATTGAATACAATGGAATACATATTTTTGATAAACTGAAATAATTCTTATCGCAGTAAACTCGTAAAAGTAAATAGTAAGATATGCCAATATTAATTTTATCGATAGCCCAATTTAAAGTTTTACTAAAAGCGGCTAAAAGGAATATTTGCCAAAGAAGTAACAAGTTGGTTTTTCTTTTCTTTTTCAACCAACAAGATTAGCAAAAGTTAACTTTGGTTTGTCATATAATTGATGAGAATTATCTGCTTCTTTAAGTTTTAGAATGCGAATATCATTGAAATTTACACAATGCGGAGAAAAATAAAAGTATCTTTTATTACTTAGAAATTGTCCAGTAAGAATAGAACCACTTTTGCCACATTTTGCTTAATAGGTGAACTGCTCAAAATACCAATATTACTGGATATGTAAGTTTAATTGTCTAGTGTACAATAATTTATATTTATGAGAATGTATATAATTGTTTAAAATGTTATACAATACAATAGAACATTAACTAAAACATGTAATTATGATCAAATGTAGACTTATGATAGAATAAGTATACGCTGCAAAGAAAGAGACGTGCAACCGGGACTACCGATCTCCTCCATACGGTTTTGCAATATTTATTTAAATCTTGTGAGAAATGCATAAAAGTTTATTCCAAGATACGTTTGTATTCAAAGAGGCACGAGAAAGTCTCCTAACGAGACATAAACTATGTGATAAACCATAAATGAATACAAAAATGAATTTAATACGCGTGTAATTCCATATAAATAGAATTTTAGTTTGATCTTCTAATTGTTAAACATATATTTATCCGCTTAATCTCTTACATGTTCAAAAGTTGAGCAACATTCATCGATACATTTGTGTATTCTAATACAATTAGAAAATACAATTAGTTTAAAGTTTCGTTTCATATACTGTAAAACATTCTGCAAGACTACAGAAAATCCAAAGAAAGCAGATCCGACAGATTTGAATTCGATAGAATTGATTTTTGAAAACGCGCATCTACCAAGTTTTTTAAACGTTCTTATTGTCTTGATATCCATACACTTTGAGGGGGTGAAAAAAGTAATAATATCAGTTTAAATTAAAAAAAGCAGTCATTTATGTATTAGCGCTAATTTATACATCTGATTAAAATGCATATAATCTGGACTGTTTTTCAAATAAGTGCCTCATATATATCAATTGTTGCTGATTGTATAACAAAATATTATGAATATTAACAAAATATTTTAATGATATTCTAAACATTTGTTATTCCGTTTTACTTTTATTTTTTGGAACCTATGTTATATTTGTGAGTCAATAAATTTGTTTGTAGATTTTAATTTTTATAGGGACTTGATCGAATGACGAAGAATAGCCTGATTTTAGATTCGGTATTGAAAAATAACTTACTATTAAGACTTTTAGATTTTCAAATATGTGTTCATAGCAGGAATATGGTACAATATTTTCACACTGTAATTGTTATAACGTTGGTTGATTAACTACTTTATTGTAAAACCTTAATATAAGTTCAATTATTGTGTTGGGGATCATTAAATTCGAGTATGTAAGTTTTTTTAAATATAAACATGTGAAATTAAAATACATATATCTTTTTAAACATGCATACAGGTTGTTTTAACATTTCACATATTTTCCCGTTTCATAAATATTCAACGATCATTATATTTGTTATGAGACAAAAATTCTAAAGTCACGTCGTCTTTCACCTCCGGCTGTCTGGTTAGGTATCTTATTTACAGGTATTGTAACTATGTTGACTTGTCAGTGACACTAAGAGACGTACTTATTATGATGTTATAGCCTCAGTTCTCGAAGATAGCTTAGAACGATCGGATCATTTCCTTTTCACTGTCGTATCTTCTAGAGCTACGTCGCGGTAATGCATCAACTATAGCTAATTGTTACAAAAACCTGTATTCTACTTACACAACTTCAATATATAGATTTCGTCGTCAGACGGTAAGTTATATTTTTACTTAAAGATGCAACAAAAGCTCAGCGTAGAATAGTTTGAACCATCCGAAAGAAGAAATTCGAAATATATATTTCTGTTTTCTGTGTTAACGTAGAAAAGATTATATTTTCAAAATTAGAGAGAGAGAGAGAGAGAGAGAGAGAGAGAGAGAAAGAGTTAGTTCAGTAATTCCTTTCTTTTAATAAATACATTAAGATATAGTATATTGCTATTGTTGCTAATATTTCTATTACTGTTATTACGTTGTCTACGTTATAAAAATGAGTTGAAATTTATACATGTATCACTTAAAATCTCGAACTCGAAGATTTCAGTTTCACGAGAAGTTGCTGACTGTTCGAAATTACATTTAACGTATTGATACTGATACTGAAAAAATGTTAGAAACCCTTTATAACACTTTTTGATTTTATTTTACATTTTTTAAGCTCCGAAAGTCTTTTATAATACGTTGAATATACGATGAGTACATGAACAATGAATAAAAGCTAATTTCTATTATTAAAGAAGTTCATATAAAATTTGTGAAAAAATATACAATTCACGTTACGCATAGTATGGAAAATATGAATCGTACGTACACTAGGTATTACTGACGCCTTTGCATCTGAATTTGTGCTCATATTTATACCTTTTGCATATTACATACATGAAAAATGTATATGTATCCTATATATGTCTAAATTCATATACGAAGGCATCAGTGATGCCCTGATATGTACGTACATGCAATCATACATTGGTATTCGACTCGTGTTGAGATCGATATTCTCATATCAATTAGATTCACGTATGTAAAACGATAGCAAATTTAAATAAAGTTCGTTTAAAACTGTGTTCGTTTGTTGTTGGGTCGCATGACTAGCTAGAACAAATGTCGGACAAATCTCAAAGGTAGCGAGTTAATAAACATTTCGCTGTTCTGTTACGTTATTCTTATCTTCTGGAAATCAAATTGCACAGAATTATTTGGATTTAAAATCTTTTCTCGACAAATCTATTAAATATGAACAATAATGTTAGAAAATGTATCATTTGTTGCATAAATTTATAATTTATTTCTTTAATCAGACAACATTAAAAATTTAATATATGAATAAATGATTATACACAATAAACCAGAAAGATATTGGAATTTTATATTTCATTTTTGCTATCTGAGCCGGAATAATTGAATCTTTCGGCTCAGATTGGAAATCTATTAAATATGCAATAGTGTAATAAAATATTGTTAAACTATTAGCATAATAATATTAACAAAATGTGTGTCTCTGTGAGATAATAAATTAACAACAAATGTCTCCTAATGAAAATTAATAATATACTTTTTGTATTCCTTCCCCCCCCTCCACACACACACGAACACATTACATACTAAATTTATATACATATATAACAGATAAAATGCTTTGCGTTAACTAAATATCTTCCATTCGGCAAAAAAATGTTTTCTACAGGTACCTTCAACGAAAATTAACATGAAATCCTATGTAATATTATTATTACATAGCAGCCTACTATTTCTTAGTACGGCAGCTTCACCTGACGAAACAACCGCACATAGTACAAGTTTACCGGAAAATGTAATACCAACGCATTATAAAATCTATTTGAAACTACATGAAAGCGAGACGAATACTTCTCTCAGCACCTGCGAAGTCCACCTGACGATCTTATCTCTAGTGCGAGAAATTGCTTTCCACGCAAAGAACCTGCTTATACAGAGAATATATTTAAAAAACAAGGAGTGGGAAACAATTTCGTCGGTATCAGAGTGGCCCATGCCTGCCACTGACATATATCGCGTATCTTTTGGGCGGGATTTACTTGGTAATTATACCCTGCATGTGGTATTTGACTATCCAAAAAATAGTAGCGCCTTTTTCAAAACAACATACATAACCGGAGAGAAGGATAAACAGTGAGTAAAGATGCTACAAGCATATGCGTTGGAAATACTTTTAATTACTAGTAATAAGGCAATGAGAGTAGTCACCAGATAGTGGATGAGAAAAATGATATGCCATATTGTATCTATATTAACTAATAAATAGCATAGGTGTACGCAAAATGGTAAACGTTTTGGTCAACAAATGTGTGACCGTCATCGGTAACAAGTCCTGTTCAACATTTTATGTACACCTTTGCTACTTATTTCTGATACAGATATTATATTACAGATTAATACAGATATAATAATTACAGATATAATACAATATATGTAGAATTTTTCTCACCCACTATCTGATGACGGATTCCATTGTCTCATTATTCTTATTTATATTTTTTCTTTGGAGCCTATTTATCTTTATGTTACTAGTCTCTGAAAACAATTTATGACGCTACTATCGTCAAGAGATACGAATCATAGATTTTGTGCATAATAAAATATCAATAAAATATTATGGTTTCAGTGAAATTTAGGGCGTTTCAGTGAAAATTAGAATTTTTTTTACTTTTAAAGATAATTACGCAATAACGTTAATATATCTGATATAAAATATAAAATAATTTGTTTCTCCTATCTTTGCATATCTCTTATATCTGTCTTATTTTAGTCTTGCTAACTCCATGCCTTTCAAACATTTTTTTTTGCTGTTTTAATTAAAGTTAAATAAAAATTTTTAAATTAATTAAGTGTATACTGCATTTGAATAATATATGCTGCACTACAAATATCACTAGTTATTATATTTACGAAAACTACGTGTGTAGAAAAATAATGTAGAATAATAATGTACGGTAATAAAACAAAGCTGGAATTGTTTATGAAATAGCGTTCACAAAGACTGATCTGCGTATTCCATGACTTAACTTTTGATATTTATAAAAATTGAATATTTATAGTTATCTAAAATACACTGTTAATATATGACAGGTGGATAACCGCGATAGATGTGTGGCCAATGAAAGCTCGAGAATTGTTTCCTTGTTGGGACGAACCGACATTTGTGGCCACTTTCGATTTTGCTATAGACCATCATATAAATTATACCCTTTATGCAAATACGGCGAGGGACAGTCACGATGATCCAACTAAGGACATTAAAAGGATATCTTTACGAAGAACTCCTCCAATCCCTACGTATCAAATCTCAATAATACTGCTTCCGAGGACTAAATTCTCGTCTGGTCCGGTTGATAATATTTACTTTGCATACAGAAACGACTTGACAGACAGGTACCACGTAGCCTATGCACAAGGTGTTTTATTAAAGTTCTACGAATATTTTGAAACTCGAGATTTGAGCTGTGAGAAGGACCCATATCATGTCATAATCCCTCATTTCCCACGTAATTACGCTACAAATTTAGGGATCATTGTGCACAGGTAATAATAACTATAGAAAGAAATATTTAAATTAGATAAAGGATCAATTAACCAAAGACTCTCGATATTAAATTCAACGAGTAACAAGGAAAGAGAAATATTAATTTAATTTTCATTTAATTGTTAATTAAGCATAACAATAACATAACGCCAACTTACACATAAATAACTGCATTTGACTAATTAAAGCCTTCCCCCTTGTTATACGTTGAAATATTTATATATTTAAAGTGTTTCAAGTTAAAATTAAAGATTTAGAAATACATATTTTCTCATATTTAATTATTATCTCACATACGTTTTGCTATATGTACGCCGTGCATATATCACATTTCCAAATGTTTATATGACGACAAAAATGTAGTTTTTATACTATATCTCATATAGTGATAAGGCATTTGCAAAAGAAAGACCGAAAATTTTATTATTTTGTTTCGAGTATACATATGTGAATGCTAAAGGCTGGTCTACAATACATGGAGTAAGCTGGAGTAAGGAGTAGGAGTAAGGAAATAAATCCATTTTATTTCTCACTCCTACTTCAGCTCTTAGGCTTACTCTCGGTGAATCAAAATGCCATCAATCAGTGTTACAATTATTTTAACAATCATGCCCGTATTTCAGCTTCCTTACACCAAAAGCTAGAAGTTAGGGCTCTCCCTTACTCCTTACTCCACGCTTACTCCACGTATTGTAGACCACGCATAAAAACATGTAATTTATTTTTTATTGTACGATTGAAATAGAAATATTATAAGATTTTTAATTTAGCGTATAAAAAACTAATGTTGTACATTTAAAACTTAATATAATAAATTGTAATATGTTTGACACATTAACTTATTATTTTACGAAAATGCAACTTTCTCCCTTTATAAATAATGTATTTAGAAATTATTGGTGATAATAATGTAAGACTACCCATTTATATGCCATTTAGAAATGAATTACAATTAAAAGAAATTACATGATTTACTTGAGATTTTTATTTTATGACTAATATGGCGTATTTTTTTAGCCAATTGACATTTTTTTCTAACTCTTTTAAACACAAATAAAAAATTATATTAAAAATAATATTTCTCACATTTTATGTTAATATCTCAGATTAAATTATAGGAACGTACAAAGTTCGTGTTTATTTTCTTATTTTCGCCTTACGAAAGTCGATATGTAAAACTATCATTTAGTCGAATCATACGTAATAAACTGTAACTATAATTTAAATGTAACTAAAATTTAAAACAATTAAACAGAACGAATAACAAAAATGTAACATAATCACATTATTACGCAATATTTTTCAGTGAACAATCTTTTATATTCAGTAAAGTTGATCCAGAACAGTTCATACGTAGACCAACATATGCCCGTTACTTAGGACATACAGTAGCATATCAATGCTTTATTAACCATATCGGTGAAAATCCGTGGTCTTACCAATGGTTGAATCATGCTTTTTCAACGTTGCTCGTATTGGACGCTATCGATAAGGTTTCTTTCATTTAACGTTATTTTGCCAAATAATATATTTAATAACATATACATTTAAATTGATAGAGTAAAGACCTGCAGACACTCTTTTCAAGTAGTTCATGTATGTATATTAACTAATCTGAATTAACTATATTACACACGTTTTACAGAAATTTGATTATACATACAAACATAAGAAACAATGAAATTATTAACAATAATAATTCAATGCCGTAGTAAATGATACGTGCTGGTAATGTGACTGTCACGATTAAATATTCACAAATTACATTAGCAATTTTCATGTTTAGAATCACCCAGAATACTATATAAAGGATTTGTTTGTCGTTGAAGTTGTTCAAGAATCTCTACGTCTCGATGATCAATCCATTCTAAGACCTCTAGTAGAGAACATAAGCAGTCCTTTCGACTCTAATTCTTTCTATTATAGCCGGTATGTCAAAGGTAAGTTACTAATTATAAGTATAATTAAATAAAATTATCCAAGTTAAATGTCACAAGAAAATTAATTACAAATATTTATCTTTATTTATAAATTAATTAAATAAATTTTATAACAAAGTAAAAAAGGAAAAATAATTCGAGAAATTAAATATATTATCTTTTTCCAAGATTAATTACTTTCATAAATATGTATATGAATTACAATAAATACTTGCTACAAACATATTATAATCTCACTTTATGAATTTTCGTAGGACCTGCCATATTGCGTATGTTACAACAAATAATGACGCCTAGGGGGTTTCGAGAAGCTACGTTTTTTTATTCAACCTTTGAGTAAGTACACATTATAATACCATCTAATTTCTAAAATACCATAAAGTATAATGAATTTAACAATTAGAAATTTTATAAAATATTTATTTTATTTCATCTTTTATTATTTTTCTTTATTTAATAATCTTTCAAATTTTGTGTAAAGTTTTTTTCTCCGAATCAAGACGCTTTTTTCTGCATTTATGCAAAGCATACATATATTAATTATCTAAAATTTATTAAAAATTTATTAAAAATGATACAAACCTAAAGAAAAAGATAGCAAGAGAAGGGAAAGAAAAGATAAAGGTTCAAAAATAAAAATTTTTTAATGAAATAGAATTTTAACGTAGGATACACACCCACACGCGTACGCTTACGTGTGCAGTGTGCATGGGTCGTAAAAAAATGTATGAATAACTATTTGTATGTATATTACCATATACATATACAAGATGATTCAGAACCTTTGCAGGTTCTGAGAAACTATTAATCTCGCAGAGAGAATCATTTTCTATGTAGCAATTTTCTATGGACCTATGATCTCTGAAACGCGGCGTTTAAGAACTACACTATCGCGCAGACAAGTTTCAGGTGACACTTTTTACAATTCTGAAATGCTACTATTCATTATTGTTTCACGTGTACTTGCAAATAGTTTACAAAAGATGTTCAAATCAAAGTGTTTACCTTGAGCCCTGATTGCATTCGTGACACCGTCATAGCACTGATTGTTGGACATTGATGATTGAACATTTGAGATCTGTGTCGAATTTGATCAAGAGCAGCACAAATCAGTTCTTCTCTAGTGTTAACTGGGATGGCAAACACAACGGATCATGGTGTTCGCTTGATTGAACATTATAAACACAAATACAAACAGATTCAAAGTGTACTGACTCATGTGCCTCTTAAATGTTTGATAGTCCGACAATCAAATATTAAAGCTCGAACACACGATAAAAACTTGAGCAGTAAAACTTGAGACTTAAGGGAAACGACCATTCAAGAACGTAAGCAGCCATTTTGAAACTTAAGTAAAATTACTAAAAATGCCGATTGATTGAAATTCTAAAATCTTACTGCTTAAGTTTTTTCGTGTGTTTCCAGCTTTACGACGGTGTCACGAATGTAATTAGGTTCAGGGGAAGACACTTTTGTGGTAATATTGAAGAGATTCTTCCTCACCATTTTCATTGAAACTAAAATGATGAGGAGGACTCTCTCGTGCAGTCTCACAAAACTTCTTTTGTAAACTGCCTGCAAGTACTTGAAACAAAAAATTAATAAGAACATCTCATAACTGTAATAAATGTCATCTAACAATAAGACCCGTCTGCACGAAGTTCCTAAACGACGAGTCAGAGAACATGGGCTACTTCACAGAAAATAATCCTCTCTGCGAGAATTTATTGTTCCTCAGATTTGGTTGCATAGGTTCTGTGCTACCCAGTGTGTATATAAATAAATATAATTTATCATTAAAATACAAATTTTTATATTCATGTCAAAGTCTGTGTAATAATTTTAAATTACCTAATGCAATTTATTGAAATGAATTATTGAAATGTATTTATTGAATTTATTTATATTACTATTGTCAACATTTTACAGAATCAGGCCACACAATGTGTTTAACACGTCAAATATAGAAACATTCTGGTCCGTTATACGAAGAGCTCATGACATATTCTCATACTATGATCTAGATGTCGGACAAATAAGATATCTAATGGAGCGTTACCTAGTGCAAGAGCGCTATCCTGTGATAACTGTTACGCAAAATGAAACTGTCATAACAGCAGTAGTAAACGATACAAATACACCTAAGAAGGCATGGCTGATACCTTACACCTTCACCACGGAAACTACTCCTGATGCTTTTAACTTATCGAAGTCAAGTGCGACAATGAAGATTCTTACGACGGGTACTAAGCGAACATATTCTAGAGAGAAAATTAAATCGATTATATTCAATTTACAACAAACAGGTAAGTACCAAATTTTCTTTTACTAAATAGATAACGATTATATGAAAAGTTTCCAATTATTTTACCACATGTATTTAAATTAAATTAATACAAAATTTATTGCCGGTAATTTAATTAGAAACTAAAATTTAAAATGTAGAATACATAGAAACGTTGCAGGGCTTCAAAGGATCTACTTACTGACGCTACGAATTTGACCTTAGGATGATCTTGAAAAGACCAGTCAAGGTCAACATAAAAACCTGAAATGGAAACCCCCCTTATTTTATTGCACATTCTTGTGACTGATCTCGAGAGCTTTCTAAACACTATAATAAAGTATTTTTTGTTAGGTACACCTCGAGTTATGAGACTTGAAATTTACAGTACCGCCGGCACTAGCATTACCCAAGATGTACTGGAGGTTGCCCGGTCAATTTTACACTTCTTTTGTAGTTACACATGCATACAATACAAAAGAGATGTAAATTCGACCGTGATTTTTTCTAAATAAACTAACTTCAATTCTATTATTATATAAATTTTAATTGAACGGGCAACCTCCACGCAGTACATCTTGGGTTAGTAAATAGATCCTTGGAAAGCCTACAACTTTTGTCTGAAACGTTTTTTTTGTAAAACATCACGTTTCCTAATTAATTTAGGGTCTCGATCTTTTTGTTACACCCTGTATATCTGTAGCTTTATTTATAGTATGTAAATTTATTTATAGTTTATTTCTGTGCAATTCTAATGTATTAATTGTAAAGGATAGCGAAGGTACAGATATTAAAAAAATATTTTTCAAAAAATTGATGCAAAAATCGATTCAAAATCGAAAATATACAATAATTGTTTGTTTATATAACAGGGTATTATCGCGTCAATTACAAAGATGGGCCTCTGAAAAATATCGCATATCTAACCTTTGAAGAATATGGTGGAATACATGTTATTAACCGTGCTCAAATTATGGATGACGCATTTTACTTTTTGATGAAAGGCGAAATCAAAGTGGATACATTTACGAGACTCACGAGACGCCTATTGTTAGAGAGAAATTATACAGCATGGTATCCTATGTTCAAAGCTTTTGAATATATGTCCTCTTTCTTTCCCTTTAAAGAGAGTTCTTATATCAAGGTAGATAATAATAAGTTGTACATGAATTATTTTTTTAGTATTTTTAAAAAAATAAACCGTGAAAAGTAAACATTTATTTAGCTTAAAAGTTTAAAGATTAAGATCTTATATGTGTCTGTTAGATTTTGACATCAAACATTACTGCTACTTTACTCATGATTTGATTGAGTATTTATTATGAGTTGATTTTGTATACATGTGTTATCATGTCAAACTTTAGAATAATGTAAAACTTTGAAACAAGAGTAAAACTTACATTTATTTCTTTGAAATATTTGTTAAATGTGTGATTTAATATTTTTCATATATTCTACACAAAATTTGAAGGAAAATTTTAGAAAAAAATTATATTTTTGTATAAGCAGCCTTAATAATAAATTAGATTAGATGGTATATATAAAAATTAATTAATTAAAATTAATTTAAAAACTATAGAAATGTTTTGCATAGACTCGGGACTGTTGTATTCTTTTAATACGCAACAATACGTTTACACAATGCTTTATTTCTTTATTAATATAATATAATAAAGAAACTGTGTAACCTTTGTATTTTCCTTAACAATTGCGTTAATACATTTGTAGCGAAAAATGATAAGAATACTGGATCCACTTCATCAGGAAATGGCATATGAATACGGAAGTGATACGCTGAGTATTAATAGTAGTTTACAGCAGGAGGCTGCACGATGGGCATGTGCCTTCGGTTCTTTTGAATGCAGAAATGCTTACTTTAAATTAATTTCACATATGATGGATAAAAGGTAAAAATATTCTTCTTATTTTTCAACTTTTAATAATAGAAGTAGCTTTCATACTTGTGGCTCATATTTATGCAACGTTTAATGAATTTTTTTATCAAGAGACAAGAATGCAAATACAATTTTCGTAACTAATTTATATTTACAACTAATAAATTCTTTGTAACACCACAGACCTATTATGACTTGGTGGAAGGACTGGACATACTGTAATGGTTTAAGATATGTTCAAATGTTAGCAGAATATACTACTTGGGAAGAATTATTTGATAAATGTTTATTAAAGGAAGAACACATTGATTATGTACTTTTAAAGTCTCTGGCTTGCCCTGCAGATACCGCTGTTATAAAGAAATATTTACAGTTAATAATAAACGAAGATTATGATGAAAAATTAGGAGAATATGGCCGACTTTTCGTTTTTCATACAATCGTTGAGAAACATGCGAAAAATAATGAGATACTTAGTTATATATTAGAACATTTTGTAAATGTAAAACCCAGGTACAAATATCTTTTCTAAAGGTGTACTATTTATATTCATTAAAACTTCTTATACTTATATTAATCATAAATCTTTTGGTTTTTTTACAGATTAATGAAATCAATTCCAGCAATAATACATCTCTTTAATCACGTGTACACCAAGGAGGCATTACAAAAGGTAAATTATAGAAACCGAATTATAATACATACTAGTAAACAATAATTATTAAGTTTATTCACTTATGGATATATCGTATGCTATACGTTACACACATGTCCTAATTGTGCTGATAATATGACATTATAAAGGACAATGTTGTGTGACATTATTATAACTTGACGAGTTATTTGTTATTAATAATGGATATATGTACATGCATTTAATTAATCCAACAATTTCATTTCAGATATATGACTACGTAGAAGACAAATGGATGAATTTTATAATTCCCCTAGGTCCGGACGCTTATAAAAGAAAAAAAGAACTACGCGAATCTCAAATAGACAGCCTGCTACGTCACTTCCAGGTTCTTCAACAAACATAATGTATCAAGCGTAATACAATGTTTGTGAATCGATGTTAATTATAAATGTATTAGATTAAGGTCATGATATATTAATATTGTGTTTATGCGTATATAGTTTCATTACAAATAAATACTAATATATTTTAATATGTACTTAGATCAACTTTATAATAAAGAATATTGATAAGAGTACCTTTAAGAAATTATGTTTAAATTCTTTATATTATTATATAGATATAAATTTACAATGAAATATTTACGTAAATAATTAAGATTGAAAAGAGATTGGTTGATAATATCAAGAGACACGGTACCCAATAAACACAAATCGACTGATCTCTTTCGCAAGGCTGGTTTGCTTGCGTGCACCATTGCTGGCTAGTGAGAGCCAATCAAGATTCCCCACGTGATAGATGAATTAAAATTGCATCCTGATTGGCTCTCACCAGCTAGGAAAGTACACGCAAGCAAACCAGCAAGCAAAAAAGTATCATGAACCGTTGGCTTTAGATTTCAATTAAAATGCTATCCGATAATATACAGGGTGTCAGATTCGATATGGACAATCCCAAAGATTATAGTAGATTGGGTTAAACTGAGAAGAAAAGTTATATAAAATTTTACAAAATCGTAATTATTATCGGCCGAATTCAGAAAAACGTCTGAGCCAATAAGTGCACGGAGGAGCGGAAGGCCGGACTCGGCAGCATGCAAAATGGTGTGTTTGTTGACATTTCTCAAAAAACGATAGCGAACGCGTTCGCCCGCTCACCGCTCCCCGCTCCCCGCTCGCCACCGTCTCTCATCGATCGATGCGTGACTCCACCTCTCGCTATCGATTTTTCAGAGATGTCAACAAACACACCATTTTGCATGCTGCC